CTCAGGATGTCCCTTCATGAGTTAGGCCCACTGAATGCCATGCTCCATGGCTAGTATTTCTGAAGGTTGATTAAACATATGGGACAGTGGTGGATAAATTCACCCATGATCCCTTGCAATTCTTTTTAAAAATTTTATTTTTATGTTATGTGTATGAGTATATTGCCTGCATGTATACAAGTGCACCCCTGCCTTGCAAGGCCTGTAGAGGTCAGAAGACAGTGTCAGATCCCTTGGACTGGAGTTAACAGATGGTTGTTAGTTGCTATGTGGGTGCTGGGTACTGGGTCCCTCTGCAAGAGCAGCCCGTGCTCCTAACCACTGAGCCACCTCTCCAGCCCTTCCTTTGTAATTCTTGACTGCCACTTAAGCTCAGGGATTGATTGACACTCCAACATTCACCTTCCTGAGTTCACTCTGATCTAATAATGCACGATTGTCTGCTTTAGAATGTTTCTGTCATTTTGGATTACTCTACTCATGCCTTTCTCAGAACCCACACATGTCCATGTTTTTATGTGTGGACAGATAACAGACATGTATGTAAAAACTCTGCAGTCACGATTTGTGATGGTTGATCATGACCTTCAACCCGATGGGTCTTGAACTCACCTTGATGACACATCTCTGGCTGTATCTGTAAGGGTGTTACCAGGGAGCATAACTGAGGACAGGAGACTCATCCTGGGTTGCACCATTCTGTAAGACCGAGAAGAAAAGAGAAAAAGAAAACATGAGCCAACCACTAGCACTCACCCCACCCCTGTGCTTCCTGGTGGGACACAGTCCGACCCGTGGTCTTCACAGTAATGAACTGTACCCTCGCACTGTGAGCCCCAACCAACCCTTCTTTACTTCCGTAAGTTGCTTTTTTCAGGCATTTTGTCACAGAAATGAAAGAAGTAACTAATATAGAAATCATGTAGTTACAGTTGGGCATGGTTAGATGTAAGGGTTAGTTGATAATTTATCTCCATATCCTGAAAGGATGAAATTGGGGCAGAAAGAATTTGAGA